GGAGTGCAGCTGGGCTCCCTCCCACTGGCCACTTCAGCTATTTGCCTGCTCATCCGACCTGATCTCTGTTTGCACACCCGCTCACACACTTGGGTAAGGTGCCGGCACCACGGACACACAGGCCTCCAACTCATAGGCGTGAGTTTAACAATAGGACAGACCGTGCGGATCGGGCACAGGGTGCGACCAGACAAGTGTATGGAACCATCAGCCCTTCTTATCCCCTTACCCCTCAATTTTCCTCCCCAAATCACCTAAATCCCTCCTTCTTCCCACCTTTGGTTCCTCCCCTAAACATCCCACTGTAAGTCCCGTATAATCCCAAAATACTCTTCCCCTGCATGCCATAAGATGTGCCCCCTCCCTTGACAGCGACCCCTTTTAGTCCAGATGGTGATCCGGAGAGCTGCTCTGGATGACACATCTCAATTGGTCTCATGCCGGCACTGTGGGGCTGATGGCTTTGCTGGGACAGCCCTGGGAGGGACCTGGAGAAAATACTTGTTCCTCAGAAGTCCTTAATTTGGGTTCCCACCTGCCAATATGCCCCTGTGCCCCTCTGGGCTTGCACGGATGGGCTTTTGATGGTCTGATAGCCACCAGGATGGGGCTGGGAGTAGTGCAGCAGGGTATTATTTGTCTCCTTGTGCTCCTTGGTGGGCATGCGGATGAGTTTTGATGACAAAACCCAACACAACAACCGGAGCGATACATGTGAAGGAGGTAAAGAGAAAAGCCACGATAACTGGTAAGCAACCAAGATCATACCAGTGTTAGTGCTGCACGGATCTGATAACCATGGGATCGTGCAATTTATTCCACAGAGAACACCAGAACAAACAATACAACGAGGACGTCCCACATTAAAAACGCAGCCGGTATCTGAACCGAACATCACGAACAGGCTGCATCGTCCCAAATCCCCAGCGGCTGATGTCTATCCCTGGGATCTCCTCTTCTCCGTCGACCAGCTCCAGGTCGTAGTTACTCAGCATCAAGAACACAAACAGTTTCATTTCGGTGACAGCAAAGAACCGTCCAGGACAGATGGATATTCCTGCTCCCCAAGGCATGTTGAAGTATTTCAGCTTTTTCCCATCTTTGTAGAAATCTTTCTTGGTGCCATCTGGGTTCACGAAACGGTCGTACTTAAATTCCTGAGGCTCAGGGTGGATTTCTGGGTTCATCTGCACAGAGAGGTGCGGGAACAGAGCCACCCTGTCTCCTTTGCGGAGGGTGTACGCTATCCCGCTGCTTGTCTTAAGGCTGGTGTCCTGGAGGACATCTCTGATCAGTATTGGGGCCGCGACCAGCCTCAGGGTCTCCTCCAGAGCACTGTCCAGAGTAGGAGTCTGGTTTAACATGTCCCTAGTGACGTTAATTAGTGGGCTCCCTGGCTTGGCTTCCCAGCCGTTCTCCCTTGAGACTTTATCCACCTCTTCCTTCACAGCCTTCATAGCTTCTGGATGTTTCATTAGATACAAGAGGAGCCAGAAGGCAGTTGGGCCCGTATTGCCTTGGGATGCCCAGAGGAGCACAAACATGAAGCGATCCCGCATGTACTCGGGGACACCGTTTTCTGCCAGAAGCTGGTCTTGATCAGTTATCCACCCACTGATATTGTCCTTCTGCCACCTCTTCTTCACGGACAGCATGCTCCAGAAGTGCCTTTTAAGCCGTTCAGCCTCTATTTTGTCCTTGGGAGGTAACACAGCATAGGCCAGCCGAGGGAAGAGACGGTCGTACTTCCGAAACTCATGGAACAGCTGGTTGGAGTGGATGCGATCTTGCTCATTAGCTTTCTCCTTGCTATCTGCCCCTTGGTGTGGCTCGGTGCCATACAGAGCCAGGTACCCAGCTCTGAAGACGATGTTGTAGCAGTAGTGGAAGAGGCTGTCCTCTTGCCACACTTGCTTCTCCTCTCCTGAGCTCAAATTGAAAAACATCAGCTTCTGAAAATTCTCCATGGTGGCCTGTGTCATGACAGTGAGTCCGTCTCCCATCAGATGCTTCGTGCTTGATGCCTGAACTATGCTATGGTTGTCTTCGGTGGGCTTGTAGCCAAAAACCTGCATGACCAGTTTAGATGCAAAAGTGACAAAGTCCAGTTTAGATCGTGACTCCTTCACGATGGCTCCGAAGCAGAAGGGGTCCATCACAAAGGTGAAGTAACAACCTCCGATCAGCACCGTGAAAACATCCCCGTGTTTTTCCTGCATCCTTTTCAGAAACTCCGAACTGTCCTTTCTGAACTCCAGCGCGTAACCCAGCCAGGGAATAGTACCTTTGTCCAGAGGTGGCTCCCCAGCTCTCCGTCTCCGAAATACGCCCAGGAGGTAGAGTCCACCCAGCAGCGACGCTATCAAGGTACAGAGGAGAGTCACCCCGAGCGCCATGAGAGCGCTGAACCCGTCCAGGAGCTTGGACTGGAGCTGGGTTAGGGCAGGAACGTGGGTTTTATTCCCATCCAGCGGCTGATATGCAGACACACAGCTGACAACCTCTGTCCCCATTGGCAGCGAGTGTTTGCCTTTCCCGTGCGGAGCGCTCCGGTGTGTCCTTCTCCACCGATGAACAGACGGAGATTTTTAAGGTGGAAGGTACATGGTAATCACGTCGGAGTTACCGGGCTGCTGGGTAAGGCGGATGGGTTTTGCCGTGTGCTCTGCAGCAGCTTGAGCAAATTCTCTTTCCCAGGCTGCATGGAGCCCAGTTTTTGGAAAAGAGGGTTCAGGGAATTTCACTCAGTGATTTCTGCCTTTGAGACGAGGCTACAGACAGCCACGGCAGGCTGAAAAAACGAGAGGAAGAGTGGCTGTTGGAAATGCTACTGGAAATGAGCTGAGGAGCGAGGGGAGGGGGTTACAACTGAGCTAATCTGGACTCCAAAGCCAAGAGAAGGAAAGATCTCCAACATTCCGACGTTCTCCAGCGTAGAGTGCCCCTTAAGAGCTTTGCCAAGGAACGGTGCAAGCACAGCTAACCTGTGTGGGGGCGAAGCAAAGCAGCTCTGCTTTCCTCTCCGGTGACGAGGGCTTGACCAGCCGCGTTTGCTCGGCATCGGGTGCGTCCAACATCCGTGTGTGGCCAAGTCTGCCTCCCGGCTGGAGAGCCGTGGCGCCCCAAAGGACGACAGCACTTTCTTCTGTGCACATCACACCTGATGCTCGATAGCCACAAACCAGTCATGTCCCCTCCAGCCAGCGGAGAACACCCAGCCCTCTGCCCTCCTGCTCCCACCCCCGGGGCTGGCATTTTTCCCCATTTTTCCCTTCTGCTTCTTGATCTCTCCTGCTCCTCACTCTCCAGATGGGCTTCGAGGATGGTGCCAGGGACCCCGTGCCCCAGCCAGCACTATGCCTCCGGGTGCTGCCACCCTGATCTGCGCACCCAGTGACAGCAGCCCCTGCTCCAACTGCTGAGCTCGGACCTCTCAGCACCCTCACGTAGGATAGAGAGTGACATGAGGAAAGAGAGTCAGGAAAAAGGATTTAATAGAGGGACAAGACAGAGTGCTTGTTCCTCCTCAATCCCTGATACCCCCCTACCTCCCCCACCTTTGCCCTTCCCCTAAGCATCCCATCATAAGTTTTGCACCGTCCCACAAGCCCTCCTCTGTATGGGATCACAACCATCTTCTTAGTTTTTGCTTCCCAGCTGCTCTCTCCTTCCACGTTCCTTCCCAGTGACCTGACCCATGGAGTGAAGGCCGTATCAGCTAAATATTTATTCTGTGTTTGTGGTTTTTTTTAAGCAAAGCTCCCAGCCTTTCCATTTTGGAAACACACTGTATCAATGCTGGCAAGAAAAATAACATCAGTGAAAACAAATCCACCTTTCCAGATCAACTCAAAGCCCTTCTTGGTCCAGTCACCTTGTCTAGTAACAGAACCAAGGTGATGAGTGTTTTCTCTTAAATTATTAATTTTATTTGTACAATTCCAGGTAACTCCCATGCTAAATAGGTTTCCAGGCTGGAAAGAGCCCATTTAAGGTTCAAGAGTATTAGAATTGAGTAGTATCTGTAAATAAAGTTCAGCAAACTGATAACCTTGAACTTCAAAGCCACACGTTTAGGATTGGCTGGCTGCTATCCGTGTTCTTCTGTTGAAGGCCATGCTCTCACTCCGTGGAACTGCAAAGCCAATATTTATGTTAAAGACAGTATCCACGGATCGATTTTATCTTGTCAAAATGGATCTTCAGGAAGGCAAATACCTTCACCACTGCTCTGCTGAGCCTATTTTTTTTCCTCTTTGTCACTGGTTTGAACTTTGTTGCTGATTGAACTGATCTCTACCCAAGGATCCGTCCTTTGGAAAGACACAGTTTCCTGCTCAGCGGACCCGAGTGTGGTACAGCTTATTGTGACAAAGGAAACCATAATTGGTCAGACAACTCAGTTTAAAGGTGCCTAATTCCTCCTGTCGTCTCTCCTGGTAGACACAGGAATGAGCCCAGTTGAACACATCTACCTGGCAGATGGCAAAAACTAGGAGAAGCAAAGCCACCTCCTGGGCTGGCCTTCTGGCCACCCATGTCTGGCCTGATGGATGAGCGTGGCAAGTCCATTCCCCAGCCTACATCACGAGCTGGAGGGATAATGGGATCACTCTCCTCCATCAGACCCTTTGGGATCTACGGGGGAGAAGCTCTGCACAAGTTTCAGTTTGCATTTTTAAGGGCACAGCATCTAGATAAGTTGTTCCTTCATCCACTAATGCCTCACATAGTCCAGACAGGAGCTGGGCTTCTTCCATGAGCATAAACCCATAATGTTATATTATTATATAATTTTAATAATTCCAGTTACAACAGAAACAAATCACCAAGCATACTTCTCCAATCCCAATGTGGAAAACTCTCATCTCAGTGCTGGTGCCAGGATGAAATATCCGGTTACACAGTGCCGTGGACTCACACCGACTCCACTGCACTGCCAGGACCAGTAAAACACAGCACAGAGGACACACACGTCACGTAAATAATGGAAATATTTATCATGCAGTTGTGATGCTCAACATTTCCACCTCAGCTGTGTATCTGCTGCAAGACTGGCTTGTCTCTGAGGGCTGGATGTCAAAGAAAGCGCTTCTCCTGAAAATAGCCTGAGGGATCTTCCGTAAATAGAACCGGAATTGTTTTTTCACAAAAGCGTAGAGCAAGGGGTTGAGACAGCAGTGGACAAAGGACAAGCTCTCCGTGATCTGCATGGCATAGTCCAGTCGCCTGCTGCTTTCACAGCTGCTGATCACACCGGCGTCTTGCAGGGAGTGGAGGATGAGGACAACGTTGTAAGGGGACCAGAGGACAAAGAAGACACTCACCAGAGTAAAGACAAAGCAGAGTGCTCTCTGTGAGCCAGGCATCTGAGACATGGTGAGGACACACGCAATGCGGGAATAGCAGAACACCATGAAGAGGAAGGGAAAAAGGAAACCCAGGATGTTCTGAATGACCCGAAAGACAACTTTCCAAAATAAGTGTTTCTGGCCATAATCATGGGTGCACACAATGGTTTTGTTGTGGATTTGCCTCGTGCTGGTGAAGAGGCCATCAGGAACGGAGAGGAGTATGGAAAGGACCCATACCACCACTAAGACGAGGATGGATTTCCTCCGTGTCACGGAGCTGCGAGTAGAGCAAGCATGAACTATCTGCAGATACATGTCCAGACTCATGCAGCTCACAACAAAGACACCACTGTAGAAATTCACAGTGTACGTAGCGTTTAAGACGGGGCACAGCTTGTCCCAGACCACCCCCTGAGAAACGTACAGAGCCCAAAAAGGAAGGGTTAGTAGCAAGAAGAAGTCTGAAACCACCAGGTTCCGCAGATACACCTCAGTCATCTTCTTCTTCTTCTTGATGTACATAATGAGGACAACAAACAGGAGAAGATTCCCGGCCAACCCGATCAGGAAGATCACAGTGTAAAAAGATGGCAAGAATACCCTGCTGAAGGTGAGCACCTCCTCTTTCGTGCAGAGACCATACTGTGCGTACTCCTCCTCATCCAAGTACTCATACGGGTAGTCGCTCGAATTGGCAGCATCCAGCAAGGTGGCAGAAGTTGTTGTTGCTGCCTTTGAAGTTGCATTTGCCAAGTAGCTGCCTAGGAGCAAAAGTGAAAGGGATGACAATGATGTTCCAACCCACCATGGGAAAGGCAAATGTCACTTCACAAAGGGTTTTCCTCTAGTTCATAGGTCCAAATTTGTGCCACCTTCTGAGAAGTGTTTTGTGTCCTGCACTCCTTGGCCTTTGCCTACGGCATGGGGACAGCTGTTTACACATACATACAAAAAAAAAAAAAAAAAATTCTAGTTTCTTTACTTCAACACATTAAAAGAGCATGGTCTCCTCTGACATAACTCACCACTTCCTCCTGACACCACTGTGAGCTTTTGAGGAAGTTCCTGCTCTAAATTATGGGAAATCCACCACCACCACCCTGTGAGCTGCTTTATATTCACCCAGGTGGCTACTGAGAAAGCAGCATCTCAGTTCTCAGTGAAGCAGAACCTGCCACCAGCACCATTATGTTGGCAGGGCTGCTCCCAGAGGTGAAAACATTTCACGGCTCCTGGTAGGACATGGACCACTCCCCATGCCAATTCTAGGAAAGCCATGGATTCCTGTAAAAAGTGTTAGTAAGTGGAAAATATAGAATCATGGAATGGTTTGGGTTGGAAGGGATTTTAAAGATCATCTGGTTCCAACCTCCCCACCATGGGCTGGGACACCTTCCACTAGACCAGATTGCTCAAAGCCTCATCCAAGGCAAGGACATGTAGGCACCAGAATCAACTCCTGAATGAAGGTTAGAGGTTGAAATTTAGCTGGACAGATGTTGCTGGAGCTGATCTTGCAAGAGATGAGGTGCATGTTGAACCCCGCTGACTGAGGAGGGCGAGGGCCGTGTGGTCAGCCACTCCCCAGGACTGCAGGCTGGCGTCAGTGGTTAGACAGCTGCAGCCCAGATTTCAGGAAACAGCAACAGATTTGAAGAGCTTCCTATTTTTGGAGTCTGTTTTTCATAAAAAAGAAAAAAAAAACACATCCAAGAACACTACCTGGGTTTCATCTTCCAAAAGCCACCCGAACTGGGCAACAGCAGTCGCTGAAAAGCCCATTGCCTGAAGTGGGAGACGGGATCTGCCTGAGCCACCTCCTAGTAATATCATGAAGGTTCATGTGGATTTTAAAAGCCACAATTAATCTGCAGGCTTTGACAACAACTCAGGGCTCCCACAGGGAAAAACAACGCAAATACTCCTCCACCCCTAAAACACATTGGTTTTCAGCCATGGCCAAAGCAGCTCGCCATTCCCCCAGGACTTATTTTTCCAGCAATCCCAAAACAGGCATGGTTGTGTAGTTCCCTGCTTCAGCCACTCCGGCCTTGCTCTCCTCCTGGACCTGTGTCTCCCACTACCCAAGAGACCTGCAATGAAGTGGTTGGTCCTCGGTTGTGCTACACATCCCAAGGAGGACATAGCCCATGGTGGCCCTGCACCTTCTGGGGACGGCTCCCTCCCCATGAACGTCCCAGGAAGGGGGAGCCCCCCCACCCCACGTGGGTTAAGCAAAGCACCCAGAGCAGCCATAAGGGTGAAGCTGTGGGCATACTTGCTGTGGTCTCGTGTCTAAAACCGCTTAAATACCCATTCCAGGCAATTCCAGGCGCCTGAAAAGAAAAGAAAATTTGGGTTGGATTGGATTGAAATGTTTTCTTGCTGTCTTGTGTCACAGGGCACTTCAGACAGAGAAGACATGGAGAACAGAGATCTGCCACAGAAGAGTGCCAGAAAAGGACTTTTCTGGGAATTAGCTTTTTTTAATTTTTCTTTCATATTTCAAAAGAAACTCATCCTTCGCCACATGTCGTCTGACTGTACGCCTTCGAGAGGAAACCAAAGCCGCTCACCCTTCTCATCGCAGCAAGCCCCAGTGAGACTCCTAAACACCTTCTCCCATACACATACCCCATCACCCACATCAGGACAAGCCATCCCCAAAATTTCCGAGTCTCTTCCAACCCACTGAGATTCCTTTTCTCCCTCTGCTGGGCCTTGCTCCCTCTGTTTCACGCTGGCACCGATGTTCACGCCCCCATCCCGGAGCTCATAGCAGAGAGCTGACGAATGCAACGTAGGCTGAGCTCAGAAATTAATCCCTGGAGGGCTGGCACTTCCAAGCTGGCCAACTTTCAGGAAGAAAAGAGAACCTCCCCAGGTTTCTTGCGCAGTTTTGTCTACAACCAAGAAGCAGAAAACACACTTACAGGAGCTTCTTCTCCACTGTGGGCAGTTGCCATCATGCCGGAGGCTTGAATCAGGCTTCTAGGAACCTCTTGTGTGAGAGTGTGGGCAGGAAATGTGAGCTCAGTGTGACCTCCCGGCTGTTGTTTCGCTTTTCCTGGTGTTGATGACTGGGCAACAGCACTGGAGTCCTCTCGGTGCCGTGGCTGAGCACGCGTCCCTCTACAACATCTACAACTGGTGCCTGCACCCAGAGTTGGGTTTTGCCACTTGAGACACCCAGCAGGACCACAGTGCTTCCTGCCACAGGTGCCGTGGGGACCCAGCATCCCTCCTTGAGAAACACAACCTGCTCTCCTATGGCTCAAGGCAGGCACCACACCGGGGACAGCCAGAGCTGCTGGGACCAAGGACCCAGGTCAGCACAACATGGAGACCACTGGTGGATCCCGTGCACCCCAGCATGCACAGGCTGAGTGGTCTGAACTAGGTTTTTCTGGGATGTGTTAGACCAGGATCACCCAGACAAGTACCCAGACCAGCCACTCGCTCACAGATAATCAGTTCCTTTTGCCCTTCTCTCCGTTTTTCCATGCATGCTTTTCCACGTCCACCGCGACCCTTCCTTTTTTCTCCACCCTGTCTCCTCCCAGACAAGCAATCTGTCCCTAATCCTTTTTTCCCTATTGGTCCTGGGTTTGCTGCATCCCAACCCCAGATGTGTCAACAAGCTCCCTTTTGTTATTTTGTTTTCTAAAAGCTTTAATTAGTAGAAACATCTGCCATTGCCTGACAGATGGATATTAAGATGATGTCCACACTGTCCAGCTCCCAGCTCCTCCAGGCAGGACTGGACCTGCTTGGTCTCGGCACTGAGAGGTTTCCTGGGGTTGAGACCTTGGTGTAGAAATCTGCATTTTTTTCAAGGAAATCTGAATAAGCCATGTGGGTGCTGCAAGATCCTCATCCCCTGCAAAAGCAGAACCAGCTACTGGCAGGGACACGGCTGGGGCCAGTGGCACTGGCAGCTCCATGGAGACAATTCCACATCTTTGAAGGCAGCGGAAAAGCTTTGCAAGTCGTACCAGAATAAGGAGCTTATTGCCATGGTTGAACAAGCAAACAGTGATCAGCCACAGCGGAGATGTGCCAGGCTCCTGGCACTGCCACAGGGATGCTTTGGGGACAGTTTCCCGGCACGACCCTTCGCTTGCCTGTCAAAGGTGTCTCTGATTAAGTGGTTTGTTGGAGAGGCTTTAGAGCACCACCATCGGCGAGTGGTCACCCTTTGGCTCGTTTCCCTTGTCTCACCACGAATCAGGGCCGTGGCAAACACCCTGACCATGCCACGGTCATCTCCTGTACCAGCCCTGCTGAGCTTTATAAACCCCAAACCAATGTGGTGAAAACAAGAGAACAGAGCAGCAGCACTGGCCACAGCTCCACATCCAACCTGCCCGGTGGTAGGTGGATTTGCAGAGAGAAATACATTATTTTTATCCATTTCCATTTTTGCCACCATCAGGCAGTGTCCACACACGCCTGCATTTAAGAGATACCCCATAATAAATATATATGGGCAAGGTATACATGAGCAGAGCAAGAAGCCGAGGCGCCAGACACGCACGCAGGGACGCTACAGGCAGCAGCAGTTTCATTAGCCCAGCAATTAAAATGAAATAAGTTTTTGTTTTCAATTGAGTTTCGCCCCTGAAGCACACATCACGCGGACTTGCAGGGAATTAAATGTGCCTCCAAGAGTCACTGGGGAAAGTAGCCTTCACTGTAATTTATTACAAGATTTTAACTCATTTCAGGAGCTGGTAATTGCATGGATTTTATTTTTTTTTTTTCTTTCAGACTCTGCTGAGCTTTAATGGCTTTGGCAATTAAAGTAACAAGATTATCCATGATGGGAAGCACACTTAAAGAGGTACAGCGGTACTAACAAAAGGTTATCTGAGCTACTTTCTTTCAGGCTGCCGAAAATGCTGCACCTCAGCAGCGGAGCGGCCCCGCGGGACCTGCAGCTCTTT